GATACACAAATTTATTGCTCTTAAATACAGTATCGAATCTTTAATTCTCATGAATGTACACAATAGTAACTTTAATTGCGTTAATCAATTTTTTTTATGGTACTTGAGAGTTTGAAATTAGTTATGATTAATGAGGGAATGCTCAAAAAACAGCGCTCGAGTTTAACATGACTGTTCCACACCAATCTTTGAACAGGCTATAGAAAAGAACAAAAGAACTTAGCTCTAGCATCAGTACTCCAGATCGAACTTGAATACTGTTTTCAAGCAAACGCAACGCTGAATAACCACTAATTTGGGTTGGTGCCTAAGGGATAAGAACGGTGGATTGGGGTATGTTATGGGTCAGAAAGGTTCGTGCCCGCAAAAGAAAAAATCTCGAGGTTTCAAAACGGCAGGGGCTTATAATAAATTGCCATGCACTTAGCACTACAAATTAAAGGACCTGTACCAACCTCTTTAGCTAAGACATCGTCGTTTGCGGAGGCTTTCCTCAGCCATCTTTTTGCCTTTGATGCATCTTTGATTTGCTCACAATGTCCGTTCAAGTAGATTTGTCCTAAATTAAGCTGAGCCTCGGTATCGCCTAGTTCTGCCGCTTTTGTCAAATAATAGACAGCTTTAGTGGGTTGTGGTTGGCCTTCCGGACAATCACCCTCCAGGTAATACTTGTACAAGAACTTCAGAGCTCTTTGCTTGGTACCGCTGACGGAACGGCTTGGAAACTAAAATTTCGAGGACGTTTGTGGACTTTTTACATTTAGGGCATGAATTTTCCTTCATTTCAGGCCATGGAACCTAAAAATGAGCCTAGCTAGCTGTAAAAAGGGGCAATACGGAGGCAATACGTCCTCGCCGGCATGATCACATGCTGTTTACGGAAAATTCCCTCATCTATGTCAGGAAATTCTGTATTTTAAAGCCTCGCCTAGGGCATGACTCAGCAATTGAGGACATTTCTGCTACGTTTTCAATGTTGGTTAGCATGCAAGGATTTTTCCCATGCCTATCGTCAATGATTTGCTCATTGGTAATAGAGGGGGTGGCCCCAGAGTGGTTTTGCATTGAAATTGGCATGCAACAGAATTTCGCATGCCTTGTAAGCATAATTTGAGGTTCTGTGACCTTCTCACCCAGGCCGCGAGAAGCCTAGGTTCTAGTATTAAGTAATTCATACCCAGCAAAATCTCCGGCATGCCGGGCATGCCAAATTTTCTGACATGCCCGGCATGCCAAATTCTCTGGCATGCCGGGCGTGCCATGATCTGGGTCATGCCGGGCATGCCAAAATCGGTCTCTGGCATGCTCTCAACGCTCAGGTTATAATTCCTTGAATCTACAGATATTTTAAGTTTGGCTAAAAGAAAAAAAAAAACTAAACAGATCACAGTGCTTATCTTTTCATATACGGTTACACGATGACGTCATTGCTAGTCCTTTCAATTTCATAGAGTTGGTTGTCCCAGCGAAGTTTAAATAACAAAAGCTCTAATTTTCACAAGAAAGTAAAACCCTGAGGGATTCTGCCGTAGTAATAAAACTGTGTCATCGTGGAGATGACCTGTTGGGGGATTGTAAAAACTCCTCACCCCTTTTAATGAGTCTTTAATAGGATTCCCATTTCACATTGCGAATAAAATGGAATTGACTGAAATCAGTAAAAAGAGAGACAGAGACTATTTTCATTGTATAATAAAATGCATCTATGTTCCATGAAAGCTTTTAAAAATACAAGGTTATAGAATATCTTTCAAAGTTCATTACAAACTGAGCTAAGCCCCAAAATCGCTGTTCATTATTCAGTAAATTATGATGTTTGACAATGCAATGTGCTTGAATATAACGTTGCAATTACAAATCTCTCTAACGCAATTTTCCCTACGTTAGAAAAGCTGTTTTTATCTTGTTTCACATTTTGATAAGGAGTCTGAGTTCCTCTTTCTTGTTTTGTAGGCTTGCCAGGGTTTAATGTTTTTGTCTCATTACCAGTGTCTGTGTTCTTTGTTTTTAACTCAAAGTAAGTCAGTAATAACTGACAGTATCAAAGAATTGCTCTCTAGAAAAGTAATTATCTCCTCGTCATGTCTGGAAGTTACCTGTAACAAAAAAGAAATGGAATGTTAACACATGCAAGGGCAATTAATATGAAAAAAAGAAATAGAACATGTAGAGCTCAGCTTCTCTTAACATATTTTCATACTGGCTTGTTGAGTCTGTTAAAGGTCGCAACTAATTGTCTGAGGCTGATTTCACAAGAGTGTGCAATTGAGATAAATGCATGGTAAATAAAGTGAAAGAAACGTGGTTTCACATTAGCCAATTTACAATGCGTTGTTCGATGATGTTTACACCCTTTTCTACTGCGAAATAAACCTTTGCATGTGGATTTGCAAGCCAAGATTATACCGAGTTTGACTGACACTTAATTGAACAACAGTTTCCTTTTTAAGCAGGTAAGGTGTAGACCCATATAAAGCCGGAATATGTAAAGGAAACTCAGCGAAAACTTTTTCGCGTCTTTTTGTGGCGATATTCTCTCACGGCCCGTCAACTGATTAGGGGTCGCGAAGAAAAAATAAATTAGGACCAAAGGTTAAAGCCTGTCCGGTTACATCATTTCGTATGTTACCTGGAGTTCTAATAAACAGGTCATAAAATAGGATTTAACGAGAGCGAATTTGTTTCTCAGTCGGTGTATAAAAAAGTGAAGCTATCAAATGAGAAGTTTATAGAGTATCAAAATTATTAAATTAAAAGCTCATATAATTAGGAAAATTCCTATACGAAAACAATGCTAGTGACATTAAATTAATCAGATAAAATTCTCAGAAAATATGTCGAATAAAAGCCTCATTGTTTGCTTTTGTTTTTGCGTAAAGGTAAATTTTTCGGCCCACAAAGCAAAGTTGAAAAAGCGACTAAATCTTAGTTTTTTACATTGAACATGTTTATTAGCCTAGTTTTCGTCCGTTTTAAAAGCTTTATAACCCAATCATAATTTTCGGGTTAAAATAGTACAAAATCATTTCAAAAACCATGTTCATTTAAAGTAGAGTCGGCAAACGTGAACATTTTGCAATTCAAAAGTCGGACCCAGCCAGGTTGTTTAAGCTTAGAATTATTTGCATTTTAGCGTCCTATAAATTTACCAGAATCGCCTCTCAGAGGCTTACTGTAGCAAAGCATTTTGTAGTACACTCGTAGACAAGCAATGTAAGCCTTAAGTCTTTGCTTGGATGAGATGTCCAAAAGAAAAATTAGTTTTGTGGACCTAAACACACATTCACCGAGACTGCTTATAAATATTGAGTTGTTCACAACTTTGCATTGACACCTGCAGCATGTTCATTTTTTTAAAGCGAAATCCAAATCTTATTTTGGCATTTGATTTACGGATATTTTATTTTGTCGCCAAAAGTGATTGTAATATCCGTTTGATTGTCTTTCAAACAACAGTCAAACTATGCAGCAAAATAAGTAACTTTACCAGTACAGTGAAAAAAAAAAAGCTCGAGTATAATTATTTTTGTCACCTACGGTCATATTTTTTCACTGTACTGGTAAAGTTACTTATTTTGCTGCATAGTTTGACTGTTGTTTGAAAGACAATCAAACGGATATTACAATCACTTTTGCCGAACTCAATCGAACTCAATCCACCGATTGAGTTCGATTGAGTTCGATTGAAATTTAGTTCGATTGGGTTCGATTTACTATGCCGGGCATTTTGAATCCGAAAATTTTAGGTTTCTTTTTTTCTACGAAAAACAGCCTACCCTGGCAGTGAAATGCAAAAAATTAAACTTCAGAAAATCGTAGGGAATTTATTAGATAAGCTTCGAAAAGCCGTCCTAATAGAAAATTCTAGGCAATATTTGCTTCTCCGAACATATATTTTACAGAAAACTGCCGTTGGGTGCCCCTGCAAAGTCAGCGTTAATTATTGATAACCCTTCACTTAAAAAGACAAATATCTAATTGCGTTTACTAGTCCCTGACATCCGGTGAACAGACTTTATTATTTCCGGTCTCGGCTAAGGCAAAAAGAAAAAGGTTGAGAGAAGCTAGGCCGCGAAGAGAAACTGGCCGAGACTGTAGCTTTCTGCATCGTTCGAAAAACTTCCAAACATTCCCAGAGGAAAATGTAAAGGATCAGGAGCCGATTACTCCGATCGGCTCCTGATGCATTAAAATTATACAGGCCTTTTTGTCGATTCAAAATGTTTTTATAAAAAGCCCTTTTCACCTAAATGTCAGATTTCCCCAACCTTTCATAAACTTCAAATGTAAAATTCCTACCCTCAGGAGCCCATGCTACACTTAGATGATCTTTAATATACGCAAGTCTGAAAAAGATATCCCATTCAGGCGGAGGCTCCCATTATAAAGAAGCCCCCCACCCCCCGGCATTAGTCAGAAGTAACGAAAATTCGAAATGTAGATCAAAAGGTGTACGGTTTAATTGTCACTACTAATTTAACTTTCGCGTCCCATACTTTACGAAACTCAAACGAAAAACCACACCAAAAATAACCGCCAGCGACGCAGGCTATTTGTAATGTTATCCGTGCCATCGTCTGTGAACTGAGAAAAAATGCCGGCGATCGGATGTCTTAACGGATTCTTTTCTGAAAACTGCCATGTTTCATTTTCGGAGTCATTCAGTGTGAGCAAGTGGTTTCAATATTTCGCTGTTTCAGAGACCTTTTGATTGACTCAATGAATAACTTAGAGTACAACGCATCGGTTTTCAATCACTTAGAACTTTTTTAGTAAACTTTTAAAAAGTTTAGTAAACTAACAGGATGTTGGTAATACCCTAAACTTTCGACAGTGAAAGTAGCAACCTTAACTTTGAAGTATTTCGCTTAACTTTTGCAAATTTCACTCGTTTGACCGCTGTGAAAGTACAACGCTGTGACCACCACTGTCTCCTCTCCTGACAGAGGGAGCGCGGGAGGAACCGCGGCAGGAGAGAACGACAAGGGACCATGGGGAGGCAGGAGTGCACCACGTAGTGGCGGAAGTGTTTCCGAGAAAGTGAAAAAATTGTGAAACCTCCTGGAAAATTCATGCCAAAGGACGCAAAATACGTGAATAATTTTTAGTAAGTGTGTTTACAAAGGCGATAATGAATTTCTTCACTTCGGAGGACCTAGATTTTCAGCGATATTGCATTGCAACGTATGGATCAATCGAAAATTTAATTGCCAAAGCCAAGAAAGGCGAAATTGTCGCCCAAGCACATCTGGGTTGCGCTTACTCGGACGGTTTTGGCGATCTCTTGCCGCAAGATAACGACAAAGCGATTGGATGGCTTAGCACTGCTGTAGAAAAAGGTTATGAATCTCCTGAGATCCTTGGAAAACTTGGGGGACTACTGGATTGGAAAGGAACGGTAGTATGCCGGCGAAAAGCGTACGAGATGTACCATAGAGCAGCGAGACTGGGTAAAACAAGCTCCCAGATAAATCTTGCAGAAATGTATCGTCTTGGAGTTGAAGGAGTCGTGAGCGAAGACCTCAAGGAATCTTTTAAATGGCTTAAAAAAGCGGCTGATGAAGATTTATCTGAAAGTGAAGTTAGAACAGATTTGTGCGGGCCAGCGAGTCAACATGCGAGCCATGCGAGTCAGCATAAAATAGCTTTGTTTTTAACGTAAACTACAAAAAAACTAGCCTCTGTAACCGTGAAGTAACGAGTAACGAGCAGCTTCCCCATAAGCTGAAAAATCTACCTTCCCAGTCAACGACTCTGCATTTTCTGCTATATACTGAACTGCAGAAGCGCATGCATCTCGACCTGCAAGGAGTTCAGTTTGATCTTTTTCTTCCCGATCAGCTGCAGTGGGACCCTCCCCGACTGTTTTTTAACCAAGAACTTGGCGCTTTATTTCAGAAGCTTCAAGAATTGCAGCTGAACTTTCTCAAAAATTAATGACAATAAAAAAAAAAACAACTTACCTTAACAAAAGTTGAAAAAGATGAAGGCAGATAACAAAACGATATTGAAAGGAGAGCGAGGATAGCGAAAACTCATGCCAAATAGCCAAAAGCCGAAGAAAGGAAAATGGACTGGGAACTAACATCTGTCTCGCATGGCTCACATGATGACTCGCATGACTCGCATGACTCGCTGGCTCGCACTTTGTCAAGACCCCGTTAAGACGAATGCAAAGCGCTATTGGTGGTGAAAAACAAACGGCTCTGAAACTTTTGTACCTCAACTACGTCGCTGGTGATTGTCCGGAAGGTCAACCACAACCAACTAAAGCTGTTTATTATTTGACCAGAGCGGCTGAGCAGGGTGATACCGAGGCACAGGTTATCCTCGGAGAGATCTACTTGACTGGAGGTTGCGAGCAGTTGATAGATTTGCCAAGAGCGAGAAGATGGCTCAATAAAGCATCTGACAAGGGCGATTTAAGGGCGAAAGAGGTGAATTATTTAACAGTTAATGAATGAGGCTGAGTATCTTATGAAGAATTATGGAGATCGAGGAGGGTGTTATTGGCCTCGACGGATAACACCCTCCGAGATCTCCATAATTCTTCATATGATACGAAAGCCAAATTCAATAAATGTTTTATTATTCATTATTTATTCCTAGTTTAAAAACATGGCTAAAACATGCTTACCTCCATCGATCCATCGATGACAAGTTCATCTCCACAAATATTCTCCAAACAGCAGATGTTGCCCTTCGAGTTGTCCTCTTGCTGTTCTTGTCATGTCTTTAGCTATTTTTTCGCCTAGTTCTTACTCTTGAAATGAGTGAAATGTGCGCCATTTTTCAAGTTCACAACCAAAACAACTCAACCTGGTCCCCAGGTCTTCTCGGTTAACGGTGCATTAACCTGCAAGAATGCTGCATTTTTTACGTCATTTCCTCGCTAAACACAAAATTCTTCCAAATTTGGTCATCAGTAACTGGTTATGGTGAATTAAACGTGTGCTTTTAGCCAGTCAGAATCAGGGAAATATTTTGAATGAATAATACCGTAAAATTCCGAAAATAAGCCCCTCCAAATAATTATAAGCCCCCCAAACTCGTAATGCAAAAAAACCCTCCATTAAATTGCCCCTCCAAAATCCCCCCGGGTGGCTTGTACTTGGAAATTGCCCTCAAATACAAAGTAAAACAAGGCAAAAACGGTAAATTTCCTTCCATTATTTATAAGGCAAGCCCAATCGATTTTGAAATGCAAATTTCCTTCCGTATATAAGCCCCTCAAAAAAAATATAAGCCCCAGGGCTTATTTTCGGATTTTTACAGTAATTGTTCTTATTTCATCAGTCCTTTGTTCACAAGACTTGCTATCTTTTACGATACAATACGATACGATACGATACTTTATTTAACACAGATATTACTCTTAGCTATTGGCTAGTTTACAGGTAATCCACAGCCCTAATTATATTCCAAAAATTTAAAATTTAAAATTCCAAAAAAAAAATTATATTATAAAAATTTAAAATTCAAAGCTAAAAATATACAATAATTCATCATCTGAAAACTGTAAAAGCTAAGAATTGATTGAAACAACAAAGAAACAGGCAGCAATTACTATAAATCCCGATTTCAGTCAAAACTTAAGCAATTGAATTTTGTTCTTCACTTCATTGGTGCCTGCTTTAATTCCAATGTCATTTGCTAGCTCATTCCATTTCTTAGCAGCAAAATATCTCCAAGATTTGAGACCGTATTTAGTCATGTTAACTTTAGGTAATGAAAGGATATAATCATCTCAAAGATTATACTTTGATGAGCGTACATGTAAGGTGATAAGATCTCTAATTGCGTGTGGAGCTTTGTCCGATATACTGTTGTTTATTGTCAATAGCATGTCTTGGATTCTTCGAGTTTCCAATGATGGGAGTGTTATTCTTTCAAAGAGATCTTGATAAGATGCACTTTTATCATTGAAGATGTACCTCAAAGCCCTTTCGTTGACTTTCTCGATTTTAGCAGTGTTTGTTTTTCGGCAGTGGTGCCAGATTTGGTCACAATAGTCAAAATACGCCAGTATAAATGCGCAATAAAGCGATTCCTTGGTTCTAAGTGGCAAAGTGTTCTTCCATCTGTTCAGAGCACTTATCTGAGCACTTACTTTGCCACAAATACTTGAAATACCTTAACCTTGCAAGCAGTGGTTTCTCCAGGCAGTAGGGAGTCTGAGAAACCACTGCAACTAACCGTCTGCTTTTCCATCGAGCATACTTCCCTATGAGAGGCTAATGGGGATGTGCCGCTGGATGGTGTCGTATTTTCACGACTGGATTGACTATATTGGGGTCGCACATTTTCGGATTTTTGGCGGGGAAGACACTTCTTCATATTTAAAAAATGGGTCAGTTCATTTTAGGATGACCTATTTAAGGATTTATAATAAAGGTAGATACATAAATAGAAAGTGACTAAGTGGGGATCACGGCAATTGCACATTTGCCCAAAAGTGAGAACTACCCCCACCTCCCTTCCCAGATTCAAGGAAGCAAAATGTAGCTCCCAAGCAGGCACTTTTAGGGGAGCTTGTATTTTGTCCTTCCCCACAAACGTCTGCTTAACCAAGAACAATATTTGTTTCTCATTGTTTTTATTTACTCAGTAAGTGACCAATCAACAGTTTTGAAATGAAGTGTTGACAGGCTAAACATGACTCGTAAGCTTGTGGTGGTGTAAAAACATGACCCTAGAGTTACCTTATCCTTCTTTGCTTTCCTTCACTAAGGTTATGCAGTGCACGGGTATTCTAAATTCTGACTAAATCTTACTTTTGCTGCTCTTAGTCTAAAGCTTTCCCAGTGTGTCATGCAGATCAAGTTATTATCAGGCTACCCTGCGGTCAAGGTCAACCTTGCAGAATTTGGAAAGTACAATGTGATTGGCTAAGCTTAGAAAAGCAGTGTGCAAAGAAAGTCATGTCCGATAGCCTGTAGCTAGTGGGTTTTGCTATTGGGCTGGTAAATTCTGTTCTTAACTTGCCCGACTGGCAAGTTAAATTTTGGGGGAATTCAAATTACAACTGAAGAACTGTTATCAATCCTGCTCATCAAATTATTTTTCACTCCAGTTAAAATGACTCTTGGGCTAGTACATGCTAACTACAGCTTGCCCGAATGTCAAGCTGTAAAACTGACTGACTTTGCATCCTGGAAAGGAATGTTCTTCTCGGTTGAGCTAGCAGGCATTTGTGGGGAAGGACAAAGAAATCTGCTTGTGATGCCAAGCAAATGGTTGCTCACAGTAGTTTCTCTCCCTTTGTTGTGTAGCATCAGGCCTGGAGAAATCACTGCTCACTACCATCTTTTCACACTGGCTTTTATTTATTTACAGATATACAGGGCAACAAACTGAAATTTATTTTTTAGAAAGGATGTACGTTCAACCAACAAGTTGCCATTTGACTTTTCGCAGATTAACAACAGCCTACAGGACCCAAATTATGAGGATGAATAGGAACTTACGCACATAGTTATAGCCATTAAAGTGTACATACCTCACAAAAAGATGTCTCTTTGTTGTTTTCTTCTGTTTCCTGTTGCACAAAAAATGTCACTTTTAATTAGCAAGTTTTGATATGTTGGTTTCACACCTACCAAAACTTGCTAAAATGTTTGTATAGGGCAGGAAACAGTATAAAAAACAATAGAGGGACATCTTTTTATGAGGTATGTACACTTAAATGGCTGTTTCTATGCATTTTACCCATTTTATTGATCTTACATGAAATTCACATACAAATCCTTATAATTTGGCCATTGTGAATCTGGATCCCCTTAATGATTATACCTCCACCTGTGAACAGGAAGTTCGTGTCTTGAGTTTGGGTTGGGGATGTATTATTTTATTTATTTATTTATTCATATAATTATTATATTTTATAAGATTACAGCAAATTTACATTCAATTTGAGAAAAAATTCATACTGTGGAACCTTCATTTAAGAAACCTCTACATAACAAAGTCCTTAGTATAACAAACTACTTTCTTCAGCCTAGCCAAAATTACTGTAAAATGTTTCGAACAGAACCTCGCTTTAACAAACCTCGATTTCATGAAATCCACAGTGAGTGGTGAGGAGACTTCAGAAAGCCTTGATATCAATATTGCTATTTTCATCAGCCCTTAAAAATAAAAATATTTAAAAAATACTAAGACTGCATAAAGTATACATGCAAAAAGTACATGAACCCACCAAAAAGAGTAAAACAATTATGTCAACACTAAAACTATAAAAATTACCTAGACTACTTAAATCGTAAAAAACTGCATAAAACCTACTAAAAATGAGATTAAAAAGCACATAAAATCACAAAAAAGCTTTCTGAAATAAAAATGTCTTGAGTGTCTTTTTAAAAGATGCTACTGAGGGTCTACTCCTAATTGAATAGGGCAATGAATTCCATAGTTGAGGAGCAGCAGCAGTGAAAGATCGATCTCCTAACGTTGTTAAAGTCTTGAATTTCAAAGGGTTTAGTAGCAGTCCATCACAATTGGAGCGTAACTTGTATTTACATGCTTCTTTAAGACTAATAAGTTCCTGGAGATAAAAAGGCACTAAGCCATTGATAGCCTTATACGTTAACAATAATATCTTAAAGTCAATTCGGAATTTAACCGGCAGCCAGTGCAGATTATACAGCAACGGTCTTACATGACAGTATTTAGATTCCAGGAAAATTAACCTAGCAGCAGCATTTTGGACCCTCTGTAGCTTATTAAGCTGGTAAACTGGCAGGCCATAGAGCAAGCTGTTACAATAGTCGATACGACTTGAGACAAATGCGTGAATGAGCGTCTCAGTGGACAGCCTAGAAAGATATTTCCTAATTCTTCTTATATTATACAAGTAATAAAAATGGCAAAAAGGGAAGGGGGTACAAGTTTTATAGATACTTCCTTTCCCCAGCAAACTGCCAGACCTTCGCGTGGCTGGAATAACCACGTCAAATGGCAGTCCCGTCTCCAGTATGAGATGTAAAAATAGTGTCCTCAATCAGTATTTTTGTACTATTACATTGACACTCAAATAGATCCAAATAAAGTGCATTTATTTTATAAAGCGCATTTTATTTAATTTTTGTTTCATCCCAATAGACATCTTTGTTATAAACACTCTGTGCCACTCAAACAAACTGCAAAATGACCTCAATCAAATATTTTTCTTAACCTGTGTCTTTAGGGTGGAGCTATCGGAGCAGCTGTTTTTGAAACTCTGTTGAATTGAGTATCACAGAGAAGCCAATTTTAACCACAGAGAAAGTTGTGTTTGATCATGACCAAGATTAGTTTTTTCCTGTCTCTGTCTTTGTAATATTCAGTGACAAGGTATTCCAATCAACCGGTGCGAAGAAAGGGCTTGGGCAGATTTTACCACAGGACTCCATTTAAACTGATGGGGAAGGAGGGGATGGGGTGACAGGGCGTGAGGGAAAAAAAAAGGAGGGTCTATTTTGTAATACCATATTTCCTCAAATGAGCTCCTGGGTGGTTATTTAAAATTTTTGTTGAAAGGAGAAGCACTTATTGGAAGGAGGGTGCGTAACCAAGGGAGTCGTTTATTTAGGTTTCAATGAATTATAACTTTATTCTGTCTAAATCTTTTATCAGAAAACGAAAACTACAACATTATCCACATGAACCTAAAGTCAATATTTATGTCTTTCATTTGTTAAATTAGTTGTTGATAATCAAGCGTACCATACTCCCACAATGCACTTTACACACATGCATTGGAATGCATGTTTATGAAAATAATTATTGATTATCTATAGTAATTATCATCATCAAAGTTAATATTGATTCTCTCATCAGTAAATTGGAAACAGAAACAGGTTTTCCTTGTATCCCTACTATTTTAAGAAAGTGAGGGGAGAGGGGAGGGGGTGCTTGTTCAAAAGGCAGGCTTGTTTGATTATAGGGAGGAGCTTAAGCTAATGGAGACATTTTGAGCGCTGTGCATCTTCCGGAAGTGAGGCCTTTTCCCTTTTAACATGCTTGACAATAACCAATTTGTATTGCTAAGTGTATTTACTCTTCTTCAGATGATTTGACTGGAGGTTTGGGCAAAACCACTTCCCAAGAATGCAAAAAGACTATTTCTTGTAATTTGTTGACATGCGTCGCTTGAAAAGCTCTTTCCCAAAGCTCCCTTTAAGGTTTGCCTTTGTGGTTGGTGCTTACTTGTGGAAGGGTACCAGCTTTTTAGAGCCTAGGTGCTTATAAAAGGAATTAAAGAAAGACAAGGAGCTATACTCAGGGACTCCCTCCTTGGTGGATGGGTGTTTATTTTTTAAGATTTTCATTGGAGACGGGAGGGGGCGGGACGGAATTTTGTTGCAAAACATGATGCCAAACCCCCAGCTTCCACCACCGAACAGTCCCTTATTTTATTTAATTTTTTTTTTCAGTCATACTTTACATTGTCGTTTCATTCAAGTACTATATATGCTGAGTTTTGGTTCAAAATTATACTCATTGGCATTTGTTCATGTTTATCAGCTTTCTATCATACACTTATGTGTATGTTGTGGTTCAATTTTATCCCTGGTCTAATTTTTTTTTCCTTTGTGTTAAACTCATTATCATACATTACCATACTCCAAAACAAAGGGATATAATATTTAAACCAAGGATAAAATTGAACCACAACATGCACACTTGGTCTTTGAAAAAACCGAACAATTTACATATTGATTAATTCTGCTGTTCTCCATGCCAAGCATCTTGATAATGATAAAGCTAATTACTACTATCGTTGTTTTCCAGCTTCTTCAGCAGTGCACACAGAGTAAAGACACACCTTGTGCAGCATTAGATCACCAAGGAAAAGTTCTGGAGCAGTCCTTCAGCATATGGAGTGAAAAAATGCTTCAGAGATTGGAAGCAAATTTGCATCCGCCTAACGTTAGACAACCAGTCGCGTTCTCAGAGGAAATGCTCAGCCCGTTTGCAGAAAGGTCCCCAACAGCGCAAATCTATCTTCAAGCTTTCAAGCTGGTGAAACAAGGCTTTGAAGTTCTCTACAAGAGTAACTTTGGCAATGAAAGAGGAATTTCCCTAATTGCTTATGGGTTCTTGACTGAAAATTCTATTCTACAAGCGTTTCCCTTGAATGACGATTTTTTCCGTCGGGTATTTGAACTTTGTGAGAAGTGCTTGAAAAAGAATCCTCAATTTTACGAAGGGCTCCTTCTATCATACGCTTTGCATCATTCTGGGCGACACGTTTCTGAGAAGAGCGCCAGAGCTGATGTTAAGAAAGTCATGTGCTTAAACAACTTGATTTATTTCATAGAAAATGCTGAAAGAAACATGCCTACTCCTGAAGATCCTTTTAAGTTTGATGAGAACTACAGCAGCTGGCTTCATGTTTTGTATTCTCACTTAGGATCATTCTATACTGTCAGAAAATCCAATGAACTGGCAGCAGAAGCTCTTGAGAATTCTCTTAAGTGCTGCCCACATTACTATGACTCTAAAAGGGCTCTTGGGTATTCTTTTCTGAAGCAGTATTTATCTAAACGGAACGTTGAAAGGAAAAGATCCATCCAAGATCCATCAAAGCCTAGTCGTGAAGACAGCGCTTTTGATGATAGGAAAGTTTTCAAGTATGCATCTTGGACAAATGCTCCAGGCAACCAAGAATCATCAAAGCCTAGTCGTGAAGACAGAGCTTTTGATGATAGGAAAATTTTCAAGTATGCATCTTGGACCACTGAATCATTAAAAAATGCTGCGGTGGACATATTGAAGGAATATCTAGCTAAGGCCCCACCTTGCTGCAAGAGATACCCTAATGCATATTATTATCTTGCATATATTGCTTTCACAACAGAAAACAAAGAGGACGGAATAAAATATTACGAACTAGCACAAGATGCTGAAGAAAATAGACTTCCTTTCTTCGAACCTGTCAACATCCCAATGAAAGATGACGCGTCTCGTTTCTACCAGCTATATACCAATTGTAATATTCAGTGACAAGGTATTCCAATCAACCAGTGCGAGGAAAGGGCTTGGGCAGATTTTACCACAGGACTCCATTTAAACTGATGGGGAAGGAGGGGATGGGGTGACAGGGCGTGAGAGAAAAAAAAAGGAGGGTCTATTTTCTAATACCATATTTTCTCAAATGAGCTCCTGGGTGGTTATTTAAAATTTTTGTTGAAAGGAGAAGCACTTATTGGAAGGAGGGTGCGTAACCAAGGGAGTCGTTTATTTAGGTTTCGATGAATTATAACTTTATTCTGTCTAAATCTTTTATCAGAAAACGAAAACTACAACATTATCCACATGAACCTAAAGTCAATACTTATGTCTTTCATTTGTTAAATTAGTTGTTGATAATCAAGCGTACCATACTCCCACAATGCACTTTACACACATGCATTGGAATGCATGTTTATGAAAATAATTATTGATTATCTATAGTAATTATCATCATCAAAGTTAATATTGATTCTCTCATCAGTAAATTGGAAACAGAAACAGGTTTTCCTTGTATCCCTACTATTTTAAGAAAGTGAGGGGAGAGGGGAGGGGGCGCTTGTTCAAAAGGCAGGCTTGTTTGATTATAGGGAGGAGCTTAAGCTAATGGAGACATTTTGAGCGCTGTGCGTCTTCCGGAAGTGAGGCCTTTTCCCTTTTAACATGCTTGACAATAACCAAATTTGTATTGCTAAGTGTATTTACTCTTCTTCAGATGATTTGACTGGAGGTTTGGGCAAAACCACTTCCCAAGAATGCAAAAAGACTACTTCTTGTAATTTGTTGACATGCGTCGCTTGAAAAGCTCTTTCCCAAAGCTCCCTTTAAGGTTTGCCTTTGTGGTTGGTGCTTACTTGTGGAAGGGTACCAGCTTTTTAGAGCCTAGGTGCTTATAAAAGGAATTATAGAAAGACAAGGAGCTATACTCAGGGACTCCCTCCTTGGTGGATGGGTGTTTATTTTTTAAGATTTTCATTGGAGACGGGAGGGGGCGGGACGGAATTTTGTTGCAAAACATGATGCCAAACCCCCAGCTTCCACCCCCGAATAGTCCCTTATTTTATTTAATTTTTTTTTTCAGTCATACTTTACATTGTCGTTTCATTCAAGTACTATATATGCTGAGTTTTGGTTCAAAATTATACTCATTGGCATTTGTTCATGTTTATCAATGCTGCGGTGGACATATTGAAGGAATATCTAGCTGAGGCCCCACCTTGCTGCAAGAGATACCCTAATGCATATTATTACCTTGCATATATTGCTTTCACAACAGAAAACAAAGAGGACGGAATAAAATATTACGAACTAGCACAAGATGCTGAAGAAAATAGACTTCCTTTCTTCGAACCTGTCAACATCCCAATGAAAGATGACGCGTCTTGTTTCTACCAGCTATATACCAATCTCTTAACCACGAGGTTAAGGCAATACGGCTTCCACAAGGAATGTAAAGAATAATTAATTGAAGTTGTGCTCCGGGTGTAGAAAACAAAGTTACTGCAGCAAGTAAGTGCAACTATTTATTAGATTAAATAAGAGCGCGGAATACACTTAAAGAAACGTGTCATACCAAACAAATTCAAACCATTCACCCCCAACCAATTTGGCGGAGAACGCCAGTTAAGTCAGGCCGTTTTCTGGTCATCACGAACTGGTCAAAACTATCCAAAACTGTCCAATACGTTCGTTCACTACTCTCTCTCTCTCTCTCTTTCTCTTTTTCTCTCAATCCCCCACCCCCTTCTTTTTTCCCCCGCTTTTTTCTTTTGCTAACCTTATACTAGGTTTTAGTCTACTAGTTTCTTCGAAGACCCTGACGATTGAGAAAATATTTTAAAGGGAATTAGAGTGATGGTCAGGAAACGGAACAAGGTTTTCATTGGAAACTTCAATGAATATTTACTTTTTCATTGCCAACCTTGATGCAACGCGGTCGTTTGTTTTTGTTTTGAAATCGCATTATTGTAAATGGCGCGCTTTGATTGGTCAATACGTAAGCCAGGCTTTCTCGTAAACAAGTTTATTTTTAACATGTATAAAGCCGCCGTGACGATGCAAGGAACCGTTTTTATTTTTAATTGTTTTCCCGGAAATGGTGAAGGAAAATGATAGTGTTTTGAACAAGCAAAGTTTATTGACAGCGAGAGTGTATTTTTCCGCCTTTCAAAAGCGTTTCATATTTTTAGACGAAAAGGTCAAAACAAGCTAAGTTGTTCGGGAAATTTTTGGAATATTGTTTCTCAAACTTATTAATAATTCATGAAGAAAATACAACGGAAATAAATGTTTAATGATCTTCGGAAATCAGATGAAAAACTGCTCATTTGTTCATCCTTAATTTCTCCTTTTAAAATCATTTCGTTTGAGGAGTAATATCAAGCAGTGACGCAGTGTTTCATCACCATATGAAACATCTCGGCATTTCGTCAAAAATACTCCGCTGGGCGTCGTATTTTCAACTCTCTTCTCGGTGTTTCATCTGGTGATGAAACACTGCGTCTGATGCTTGATATATTACTTACTTAGACTTGAATAAAACTTGCAACGGAAATCGTATGTTATGAAAGCAAAGAAGGCTATTCAGCAGAAAATGTACCGAGAAAATTCATAAGATGATTGTAAACGACTCTTAGAAGAATTATTTATAAAGGCTTACATGATTTTTTTGACAGTTTCGTCGCAAACGGCTCGGGTGAAGGTGACTTTGAACAGTAACGTGGCTGACAATTGTTTTAAACGGATAGCTCGAGCCGTCCGAACGGATAACAATTTTCTTCGAACGGATAACCCGAGCCGTGCGAACGGATGACAATTTTTTCCAACGGATAGCCCGAGCCGTTCAAACGGATGACAATTTTTCTCGAACGGATAGCCTGAGTCGTTCAAAGGGATGACATTTCTTTTTCCAACGGATAGTCAGAGCCGTTCGAACGGATGACATTTTTTTCGAACGGATAGCCTGAACCGTTCGAACCAATACCAAATCTTTGGAAAAGCCTTTCACAACTATGAGTAATTATGTGTAACACGAAATTCGCGGGATTTGTGTTCGCATCGCGCAATGTATCAAGGTTGGCAATGGACCTTTAACTCTTACAAATTAATGTTATGCTAGTAACACTCTGCTCTTTTAGTGTTTTAGTAGTTTTCGTTATGTTTAAGTGCTTCCTTAGACTTTCTCAAAGCCCGTTTCCGGTTTCTGCTGGTTAGATGGTCAGTCGCTGAACGGACTTTTCTCGCCTGTAGCACGCTATTTTTGACCGACCAGTTTTCTGGCCAGCGGTGTGATGGGGTGTGTCATTAGGGATATCCATCATGTAGAAAACTCTTTAGTTTGGGCGTCCGTTCTAGGGGGAACTTGATCCAGGCGAAACCTTGGCTTGGCATTTGTTTGGCTTTGAGGTGAAGGAAGCGTAGAAAATGAACGTTCACCGAGCGTAGAGCGGCTGGTCTAAGGAAACGTAGCTTCAAAGAAATTAGAGAGAATCAAAGGATAGTCGTAGAAGGGTACCGTACATTTATGGTCGAAATTTCTTGATGGTTGCGTCGACGGGCATAGGGAAACGCCTAACATTTCACATCGCCTCGTTTGAAAACACACTCGTCCGGCCATGATAATGTTTGGGTGGATTTCTCTGTTTCTTTTACCAAGGGAACAGGCTGAGCAATGATGCTAGTTTCCTTGAATACGAGGGCTTTTCGTTTGCTGCGAAATTGACCACCAGAGTCTTTTGACCGATTCGATGGAGCCACATACAGGTCCATTCATCTCGGTTATTGAGCTAGCTATCAAACCGCTGTCAAACTTACCTCACGAACCACTTTTTGGCGCCGACATTATGCAATCTTTATATGAACCTTCTGCAGACGAAATAAGTCGACTCACGACTTGCGTCGCTCGCTTGCGAAGCGCGTCCCCCGCGCTTTAAGCGCTCACGCAGTCGATTTGTGGCAAGTCTAGTGTTTCTTCAATAGATTTGTTTATAAAGCCACAACATCTCTTAGACGAAAAGTAAGTTAGAGAAACTAATAATGAATAAGACAAAGTGATAAGTGTTTCTTGAATGCTAGTGTCCTTCTCGGCTATCTATTTTTCAGAAACTGTCAAGCAGCTGACTGGAAAACGCACAAACCCCATTGTATCGCTGTTAGAGAGCACAGTGCAAAAGCTGGTACCTAAAGGTCATTCACTGACTGCTGTTGCAAATGCTAATCGACAGGCACGTTTTGTCATGAGTTCTTATCATAATAACGTAGACCGATAACCATAGCATGCTTTATCTGTTAAGTTTCCTTCCATCGAGGGAGAATGTGGCAGCTTTAGCGGGGTGTGCTATGAGTCCAATGTCCTAGCCTTAAGCCGTAGTCTACTTTGGTACATTGGAGGTCAAAAGTGGTGGGACCTTGCCCGTGATATCAGTATTTATAACTGCCACATAACCCCTTTTCATCCCAAACAATGTTGAATTTTGGACAGAGTGGGTTGAAATGAGTCCCTTTTGGCCACAAGATTGCCGGAGGGGGGGAGGGGAAATGGGGAACGAAGGGATGAATCCAAAGCCGATCACTGGGAGCAAAGTCCTTTGTAACAATTACGTGGACGGGTTTTTTTTAGCTCCTCCAAGTTCTTTTGACCTCCATTGCCTGACATTGCGGATTTTCTTGCACTTTAGTTATCAAATAGTAAATTTGAACAGCAAGCATAATTCAGGTTGGCCTCAAAGAAACAAAAAACAAAATTAAACAACAATCTTTATTTCTACGCGATTTTTAATATTACAGTGACTTCCATCCGCCCGCATACAGAAAACGTAATCGTGGCGGGGGAAGGAGCAACAAAGGAAGAAAAATAAAAATATTTTACTGCTGCCGTGAAATAAAAATTACATTGAATTAATTTATTAACAATAAAAATATTTTACAAACATTACCAGCTGCCGTGAAATAAAAATTACATTAAATTAATTTATTACCATTACAATATGGATTAGAAAGAGTTTGCTTATACCTTTGTACCTAACAGTTTTACTAGCGTCTTATACGGATTTCCGTTGTGAACTCATATTCTACCGTAACCTGCGAGCAAGCTTTCCTATTTGGGCGAGCGAAGCGAGCCGCGCGCGAACGCGCGAGCTAGCGGCGAAGCCGCGTGTACTTTTCACGATATCCCCCAAATGGAGAGCTTGCTCGCAGGCTAATTCTACCGATCTTCTCTCGGCGATGACTTCTTCACCGAACACTCAGGACTTGAGCAAATGCATCGTTCTTTTATGAGAGTAAGATCTTGAACTCCTTACCCTTAGATGTGAGAAACTTAGCTGCTAAAATTTTTAATGTCTCCCGAAAAAATGTAAGGGATTAAAATCTGTAACGACTATTGCTGATTTTCAACCACGTGACAAGGCGGCCATCTTAATCGACAAAGCATTAAAATGTTTCCTCGCAGAATTCATTTGTTTTCGTCTACCAGCGTGGCCGCCTTGGCGTTGGTTGAAATCAGGAAGCAAAAGCGTTTTTGAGCGGCGCACGTCAACTGGAAGTGAGGCCTTTTCTTTTATGATATGACTTGACGCTACCAAATTTGTTTTGTTAAGTTTCTTTACTCTAATAGAGACGATTTGGCGGGAAAGGAAACCACTGCCCATGAATGAAAAAGGTCTACTTCAGCTGTTGACGCTGGTGCGTCGCTCAAAAACGTCTTTGCTTAAGCTCCCTACATTGTTCCAGAAACCTTGTCCCCTGGGCTTTTCACATCGGAATTTTCTAAGGGAAAAAGCCTGGAGATGAGGTTGTTGGTTCAGTTGTTGTGTGACAAGTACAATAGAAAAGATTGTCTGTTCTTAAATATCTTCTTTACGATATGGCCCTTTTTTAGACTGCAGCGTTGTTTGTTGCAAAACTGTTTACAAGGAGGGAGGGTAACCCTGGTGGTAGGGTTACTTAAGCAAGAGGGTTGCCCTACCTGCCTTGTAAACGCTCTGCTAGGGATAACTCGCCTACCCGGCACAGCTTTCCTCAGTCATGCGTGACCAGTAATCCTGACAATTTGAACCTAATTATCCAATCTCTGGGCTAAATTATAAAGATGTGAACAATATAAGGTATTTTCTGTATATGATGATAATACTTTCCCTTTTTTTCAAGAATTTAACGTGTTTTCTGTAGAGAACTTCAAGTTATATTTCAAATCTTGGACGTTACAAAGATTGCCACGCATGACAAAACCCCGACGAAACACGTCAGTAAAGCTGATTAAGTTGACCCGGGGGATAGGATAACCTGCTTGTAAACCAGAGTTAACTTTAACCTGCTTGCTAAGGTAACCCTCTCTTCTTGTAAACAGGCCCTTAGGCTAGCCTAAATTATCAATTTAAAATTATTTAAGAGAGCCTGTAACTTTCGGTACTCTTTAATAATAATGTTAGTAATAAATAGAGTGACTGTAACAGGCCACTTTCACGATGTCGACATTTGACTCCAACTACTAGAATTCATTTAGTTTTTGCTTTCTTATTTAAATTTGAAAAACACGCTGAGGTTCAAAAAACAATCAGCCTTAATTTACACAAGAAAAAAAACAAACTGAAGAATTCTGATAGTTGTAATAAAATGACGTCATCGTGCAATTGTCCTTTTTACCCGTGAAAAAGAGAGTAGACCTATACACAGTATTATGCTCCTATTTCATTGTTTTCGTTTGTTTACTTATAACTATTTGGCACCTATTGTTAGATACTGTTTTACGGGTCCAGTAAAACCACGCTACTACGACGTAAACTGAACTATGAACCACAAAATTTCCCAGGGAGATCACGATTAGAACCTGCTCGCCAACTTGCTTGGATACGTTTTTAAAGTCGTTTACCCACTGTTACTTTATGTTACGGCTATTTTTTGTGAATAACTAAGATAGAAATTTTCAAATAATTTCTGTAAACGGATGCGTTTGTGGTCGCAATAGGTCAAAATCCAATGCAGCTAGGCTCTTCTTTTTCAACGTATTTTTTGCTGTTTGAGTGTGCTTTCTGTTAAAAAATGATCTTCACTCACTACATCCGGGTAGCTTTAGAAAAAAACACAACACAGCCACTAAAGCCCCCCTCACCCATTAAAATCACCTGCAGTACTACGGAAGCAATGTCTATTGCAAGGAACAACCTTATGCTAAACACCTAAAGACAATTTACAACATACAAGCACAAGCAGAAGCAAACAATGTTCTGCCCAAACAATGGTCATTCCTACACGACATCACGTAGAAACTATCGTTTCTACCATGGCGCTATTCCCAACGCCCCCTGATATTCTCTATGTCTTTCATCCGTAGCTTATCTTGCCTCAATAACGCCAACTATCCTTAAATAAGTTTCTTCCGATGCAACTGTGTACTTGAAGCATACGAAATGTAATAATGTTTGAAAACAGTAGTATTGTTAGCAATGTAAGCAATAAGTATTGTCAGTACTGTAAGTATGGTATGAATGTGGTAAATAATGTAAGCAGTGTAAGCAGTGTTCAATATTGTAATTATTGGGTTAAGTAAAGCAAAAAAAAAAAAAATAAAATAAAAAAAAATAAAAAAAAAAAAAACCTTATGCTCGTTTTAAAGAACGTTGATGCCTTGTTCTATCACCACTGCTGATACGGAGCTAATTGATCAAGGTAAATTGTTAGTTTCTTTCCTCCCTCATCGAAGGATGCCAAGAAGAAAACCTTTTTGCTTGTATGTTTATTGAGACTTCCAAGGACACCGCATTCCATAATTATGTTAAAGATTTCAGGGCTCTGAATGTCGCATTCAAGAGTTCGACTCTGGTCATAAACATGGAGCAACTGCTTTGGGTGACCGTTCTGAGTTTGGGTTTGAATCTTGATGATGAATTTTTCGCGACTGTCGAGTTTGAGTTCAGGGCCAGTTCCACTGCCTTTTACGTGAATAGCATATCTTAGCGCATACCGATCCCGTAACGATGTTTCATCGAACGTAATGGAATAACGACTTTTTAGGGCTTTACACAATGCCTCGTGTGCATGGAAGTGCCGACTTTGGCATTCTTTTGAGCAATATGATGCAATCTGACAAGTTGAACACTTAATGAAACGTTTTCCTTCATGTCTTGATTCACGACAAAATGTACAGACATTGTGCAAACGCTCGACTACCTTTCTTGGGTGATAAATACCTTCTTTGTTATTAAATTCTTTGTTTCCAAAGAGGATAGGTGGGTTGGAATAAACATTCTTTTCCCCTGGTGGAGGAGGTGTAATGCCTGGAATAATGCTCAGGAGGCTAGTTTCAAGGGGAAACTCACTTTTCTTTTCATACTCTCCAAATAACCATGGACCACTATGGTCTCGAACGATGTTTGAGTCCAGATAAACCCGTCCAGAGTAATTTACGTTAATGAAAATTCCACCACATTTGTTGCCAGAGATAACATTCTCTGTTATTTTCGCTGATGTTCGTAACTGGGCTTGAATTCCCCAAAACCCGTTTTCGAATATCCTGTTTTTACTGACCAACAGACAAGGGTCCTCCTGGAGAGAAATACCGAAAAGGCGGTTGTGATGGACGTCGTTGTTTCTCAGAACTATCTTGTGTTCGGTGCGACCGACAAAAATACCCTCCTTTGCGTTTTCAAATACTTTGTTTTCATTGACATCACATTCTCCTGCATTCGGGCCAATTAAAATACCATGGTAACCATTATTAAATACCCTGTTTTTAAACGCAACCAGTTGACCCCCTAGCCTTGCTTCTAGACCAGCTTGATGGTTTCTGTGAATCTCACATTTTCTGACCTCCATGTAAGCACCTTCCCACGCTACAAGAGCACCTCCACCTCCGCAGTCTCGAATAACACAGTTTTCAATAAAAGCAGAGCTTCCACTCGTAATCTGAATTCCAGGAGAGCCAGCCACACCCGACTCGGAACCTGGATCCCCAAATTTGTCAGTGCGGTCACAAACCGGCTTTCCTAGAGAAGCTGCTATACACCCTGGTCCACCGTTGCATTCTGGACTATCCTCACAACTTACAAACCCTCCTGAAGTTTCGCACTGGTTCATGTGAATAGCTGCATCCTTCCCTTGGCACATTATACCACTGCTTCCTTTTGGAAAGGTTATATTCTCAAAATAGCACTTTGATTGGTGCAATATGCAACAACTTTCTATACAATTTAAAACTACCTGCTGTTCTAGACCGACCATCTGAAGGTTGGTGAGGACAGTGAAATTCTTCAAGTTATATTTACCTTCACGCAGCAAAAAGGTTTCATTTCCTTTTCTCATCATTAGGGCGAAAGCCAACTGCGTTTCATTTGTTATTTCTATGGGCGAAAGCGCACGTACTTCTGGAAACATTTCACAAAACGTTACCTCAGTTCGAAGACTTGGATGAAAGTAAACGGCCACTGCCATTGTTGCTCTTTTTTGCCCATTCAGGTGAGTAGCTCCCTCGTTAACAAGGTTATGGAGAGCCCAGATTTTGCGTTGAAGTGCTTTGCTATTATTACGATCCAAAGAAAGGCACTTTTCACAGTCTTCTAAAGCTTGCTGGGGCCGGCCGAGTTTTAAATAACAAAGGGCTCGGTTGGCGAATAGTCTCCAATCGTCAACCTTTAACTTTATGGCAGTAGAATAAAGCTCTGAAGCCTCTTCGAACTCGTTTCTTTTCACTGCAAAGTTCCCTTGTTCACGGATCTGGTTAGCCTTGTCTTCCATCTCGGTACGAGACGTTTCAGCTACATCCGGGGAATTATCCTCAGGGGAAGATTGCCTCATGCAGTGAGATATCAGCTTGTATTCCTTGTCCTTTAAAGGAATGTCAATGAAATACTTGAACGGTTTGGTGCCATCCTCTGTGGTTGCCTTAGTGATGTTCACCAGAAAGTCCAGTTTCAGTTTCTGTATTTCTTGAGCTTTAACTTTCTCTTGGGAAACACTAAAAAATATACTTGCTTCATTGAAGACGCGCACGGTTTCTTCAGTGTACAACAGGGTATGGACTGACTCTTCATGCTTGGCGCAGTAATCACGCAAATGCTCCTGCAAATACGTAGAATGTAAGGCTAACTTACCCCACAGATGCAACGAAGGGGGGTTCTCCTCACCAAACACAGTATCTTCAACGAAACTTTCGCACACTTCAGCCGGTGAGCGAGTATTTTTCAGCGCGTGGCGAAGGACGCATACGGCACGAGAGAGAACCAACTCAGTTTGTTCTTTTTCCATTTGGCTTCGTATCACTTCTTGCACTAAACGGTGAACACTAAATGATTCTGATTCGAATCTTTGAAACAGGGAAAAGTTGGTAAGAAGAGATACTATCTCAGCTTGATCCCATAGACCGCTTTCCTCAGCAGAACTGCAATCTTCTTTCAGCCCTTCATTGACCAACTCGTATGGAATGTCATCTGGGCCATAAAAAGCACAAACCTGCATGAAACGAATGGGGAATTCTCCAAGTTCCATCTCTTTTGAGATGTGGCTGATGTGATGAAAATTCAACGTCCAGGTTGTGTGTACAGCTAGCCGTTCAGGAGAGGTGTTTTCCACAAATAGCTGCGCCTTTTTCTTTTTTAAGAGAAGCAGCTTCTGCTTCCTGTATTTCTTCACATACTCTTTTACAGACTGTTTAACCCATCGTATATAGGCACCAGCTTGATCCAGAGCTAGGGGCAACCCTCCCAGTTCTCTGACTAGCTCACGTAAGTCATTGTCTTCTCCCTCATCCTTACCTGTTCGCTTTCGTAGGAAATAAATACCTTCTTCTTCTGTTAAGCATTTTAAGTTAATACAACACTGCTCATCAATTCCTGTGTCCTCTCCAACTTCTGAAACTTCTCTTCTTGTCGTTATGATGATGTGTCCACGAGCCACATGTTTCCAGTGGCCAGTGAGCAGCTTTCGCATCTCTTTGGACATTTCTAACTCATCAAGATTATCGACCACTAAGCACCACAACTCTTCCCGTTTTCCAAGCCATTCAAGGGTACTCGACAAGGAGTTGTCGAAATCGTTTTCGAACGTTCCAATTTGACGTGCCATCTCACAGACTGACCTTTGAAAAAGATCATTATTTTCGCCCGAAATCCAGAAAATCCCCCCTGGATATTCTCCCTTTTGTTGCCAGAGAAATTCTACAGCGAGAGACGTTTTCCCAACGCCACCTAGACCACAAATAGCTGAATGAATACAACCATTTTGGCTGTATTTTAGTTGCGCTGCAATTGCTTCTAGCTCCCTAACGCGACCACAAAAAGCAACGATTCCGGCTCGGCACTTGAAAAATTTTTGCATTTGTAGTCTTAAAACTGCCATCTTCTAGCGCTTTAACCCTAGCATCCAAGTGACTGTGGTCCATTTTTAAAGCCCCCATGTCTTCAGTTAGACGAGCTTGATCGTCTGTTATAGACGATACCGTAGTGTTTAAATCGCTTTGTTTTTCTTTCAACTGAGAGATGTCCTCTTTATTAATATCTACGCGTTTATCTAATTTTGCTAACGAGTTAGAAATATCTTCAATGTCACTCGACAAGGCTTCCTGTTTTTCAAGCCGTTCTTTTCGGTCTGTCTCCATTTGCTTCTCAATGTCAGTTATACGCTCGTGAACTTTATCAACTTCGTCTCTGGTTGTTTGAAGAGCAGCAGTTATTTTGTTGGCCTCATCACTGCTGTACTGCTTTATATTTGCCACTTCGTTTTCTAAGTTGGTAACTTCGACGCTGATAAGCGTCATCAAATCGTTATCCACCGGGCAGCCCATGCACAGGTTCAAACCTGTCAAGAATGACCCCATAGTAAATAAGTACTGTACGGGCGCGATCCATTCAACCAAAATTTCCCGAAGTGTCGGTCCAAAACTCAATGGATCGGTTCGGTCCAACCGGAAAAGTTTCGAAAAAACGGGTCCACTTTTTGAGGTGGACCACTTTTCCCGGTCAGACCGGTTGGAAGTTTGGTTGAATGGATCGCGCCCTACATTTCCCTTTTTCATGGGTACTGCAGCAATGAACTTCCAATTGGATGACATGTCAAATATAAGCAACGGAACAGGAAAATCAAGTCCTTATACTTCTCTTTTACCTAGTTTTACAACCTGATTATCAGACGGGCAGATTCCTTCGTAGAAATTACAGCCCTTTGTGTTAATTTGCTATGTGTTTGAGGAAAATGAAGGAAATTGAAACTTGTAACTGCGGTGGAAATACCCTAAACAGCAACTTTTATATTACGTACCCTTCTTTTCCCAGTCACTAATTTCGCCAAGAGTTTTCTTTTCATCAGCCTTTGGAAGCCCCAATGAACGAACCATTGTTTCCATCACCTGAAAGCAACGTAGAAACTTCACATCCGTCCAGTGGTCAAAGTTACAGTGTCCCCACTCATTTCTCACATTAGATCGCATATCCTTGGCATTGGTCTTGACATGATTGTGAAAAACAGACGCCCTCTCCAGAATCCCCAGGACTGCTGATAGGTCGCATGTGTTATCAAATCCTACAAAAGGATAAAAATTTGAGTGAGGCACCGGATCTCTTTCTATACTTAATAATAAAACGCGAGTAAAAATGGAATAAACATGCGACACGAGCGACGCATTTGCCTACTTTAAACTACTTTTTAGAGACATGCATGTACAGAAGTCTAATAATAATAATAATAATAATAATAATATCTATTTTAGTGCCAATGTATTTAGCTTAACAGTTAGCTAATTGGCCACACTTTCCTAAGTACTCGCTCTAATCTATTACACGATTTTTAAATTAATGATCTCACCTAAAACCTAAATATGCTATATTTAGTTTATTTCTTGGTTATAACGGTTATAACATTAATTGATACCTGTAAACTTGGCCATGTGTGGTTCAAGATAAAGTTTAGCCAAGTCTTCAGCTGTTCCAACTTTGTAATCGTATGAACGCACTTTTTTCTTAAAATTCCCCCAGTTGTTGTTGATGCTTCCATAGTTCAGCTGAGATGCTCCATCTTGAGGCAAATGACTTCCATAGACTTGAGTGTCAATTCCATGTGCACTCTTTAGGGACGCATAGTGTTTTGGTATTTCTTGACCCACAAAATCTCGGAGGACTGGTAAGAGAAGTCTGTTCAAGCAAATCCCGATAACAACCCATCTCTTTTGGTTCTCTCCAAGGTCAAAACTGCTAACTGAAATACATTGAAGCACAGTGAGCACATACTGGCTCGTCCGATTGAGAAAACTCCAAAAATATGCTCAAAACTAACTCCGATTAAAGGTTGCTTTTGTTTGTTGTTAAAATAAAAGGTACGGTCAAACGCCTTAACAAGGACACAAAAGAAGAAACGCAACAATTGTCAGCATTAAAGGGTTGTCCGCATCATAAAACCACAGGAATTGTACTAGTTTCCATCTCAGGCCATCTTTCAGGAGACCTAAGCAGCGCTGTCACTAAGATTTCAAGTTGCCGGGTAAATACAACAAGTAGGCTGGGAAGCAAACAGCTAGGGGTTTCTTTTGATTCTATTGTTCTTCTGTTTTATTACCTAAAAAGCCGGGGACCACGTTGTAAGTAGCCGGGGGAAAATCCCCAGCCCCCAATTCTTAATGACCGTCATGCCTAAGAGTTGTCCGCCCACATCTGAGGGGCGACCTTCGAGAGAAGTTGGACCCTAGTACAATTTATTTAGACCTTGCGAGTGAGTTGCAATTAAAAAGTATTTATTTATAATAAAGGCGAAAGATCAGTAACAGCCATCGGCTTAGTATACCGCAGCGGTTGTCTCAATGCGCTTGCGATTCTCCCCACCTTACGGTTGTTACAAGTACAGGTGTACCCACGTAAACATAGCTTTGAAATGGACAGAAGCATAACCCCAATAGACTTAGAATTTATTTTTTGTCTACGTAATCCTAAACAAGGGGAATAGGTTGAAAAATTAAGGATTTTCCTTGGAAGAGTAACAAATGTATCTCGAATTAGCTCCTTCAAAGTTCCGGTTTAGGTGTGCTGCCAAGACCTGTAAAACCTGACCCTGTTTAATGCAAAATCGGCTCATCTTGCTACCCTGGCTAAGACAAGAGACCTTTCTTCGTGATCGTGATTCGTTTCATTTCCCATAACATTACCATTATGTAATTATGTTTGTTGACTTCATGAAAAGTACGGGGATGCTGGTCGTCTCCCTTACGGGTGTAAATTGCAGATTTTGGTCTCACTAAGGGTGTTTGGGACGCAAAGTCACAATATTTGCCCATTCACGTATCGCTTAAGGCTGTGTGTTAAGAAATTACAAAAAATGCCGTGACACCGAACATACAGAAATCTAAGGTTAAAAAAACACGATATCTCTTTCTCTTATTTAGATACCTAGCTCTTATTTAGATGTCTGTATTAGTATGGTCTCCTTTAGAAGTCACTGCTTGAGCCACACCCACATTGGTCTCCCTTTGGGCTTTTTGACATTATGCTTAGCTTGCATTTTTTGAGCATTTTAGTGAGGTAAAAAAAATAGCATTATTCGAGCATTTGAGTGGACTTTTTCCCGGAAAATTAAGGTTTTTCAGGTTTTTCTCTGATACAAAATAAAAATTGAAACATTTTGAGAGAGTAAATGACGACTTCACACCAAATTAATACAGCATATTGTATATGATCGTTTTTTGCTGTATTGAGACTATTTACTTGTATACATTGTTTCCATACCACTTATCCATTTTTGTTAGCCTTAGAACATTTAGAATTTATAAAAAGGCCTCTCTATGATGAGCACTTATCGAGCACTTCAGTGACTTTTGGGAGGGGTGACCAAGCATTTTAGTGGGGAAACAAAAAGCGTAAAGTGTTTTACATGGCGCGAAATATATGTACTGCAACGTTATGTGGTCTCACAGATCTCATATGGCGGAAGCATAGATAATATGGAACAAACGAGTAACTGTTTATCCGAAGTCGTTTTTAATGTTGCAGTTTGATACTTGTCAAGCCGTAAAATGATGAACCGATATCTGCTTCCCGATTAGCCACAAACAAAACATATTTGGTTCCTTACCAGGTCCAGTAGAAGTGGATGTTCCTGTGATAACCATAGGGGCAGCAGACGTTGCAGGGGGTGGCATGACGAATGGACTTGTGCTTCCACTCGCTAGTCCAGCCATGCCGACCTGAGAAGTAAAATGTATCCAACATATTCCAAAATGACAACAAATTTTGTATTCCATTGTCTTCGAGACAATTGGCTCAAAATGACTCTTTTCGACGTGAAATTTTGTTTGAATTCAGCACTGAGAGGCAATAAGTATCATGGAACCCGGTTGCACTATCCACCGGATAGAGATTTATCCAGCAGATAGCGCTATCCACCTTTGAACATTTGGGGCCTGGTTACCAAATCCACTTATAATTAGTTTTGTGGGGTTATGGTGCGTGCGCTTTGCACACTGAGTGCTTTGGTTTTAATAATAACCTTATCTCAGAAGCTTGAATTCAACGTTCTCAGCAAACAAGTGCACCTTATTTAAAAATGTTGGTAATATTACTGTGTGCACTATTTTGCTGTTGATAAGCCCCCCTGGATAGTGATTCATCCAGTAGATAGCGCTATCCAATGCTTGAATAAACGGGACCAGCTGGGCCAGATGTCGATGCGAGAATTTTTTTTACCTTAGCCGCACACACTCTTGGCCTGTGAGGGAGAGGGTGGAATCTGGTAAAGGAGGGAAGGGGAGTCCTACACTTTTTATTGCGTTTGTCTTTGTGAAAGGTTTCATTAGTAAATACCTTAGAGTCACGTTTATGGCAAATGGCAAATTGAGAAATTCTCAAATAGAAAATGAGCCTATAAAAACAGCTCAAACAATTCTTATCTACTGATAACTGATTTCCGTGCTGTTAAAATGAACAGTAAACGACAAGTTAAGGAAAACCTTGGTCACGTGGTACATATTCACGATTGCCGTTTGCCGTAAACGTGATTGACCAAGGTATCTACTGACCAGTATCACATGACCGTGTCGTACAACTCATTGAGGTCACGTTTTTTTTAAAGTTCTTTAATGGCACTGGATCGCAGGGCTCAAGTCCTGGTTCTTCTCACAGGTATTCAGTGCACTCATGGGATTGTTTCTTGATTATGGCGGATTCAGTCAAAGCGCCGTTTCGAGAGGCAGTTTCCATTGATTTATTTTTCCATAAGATTGTCGAGATCGAGCGCTTTGCGTTACAGGTCGTCATCTTGGATGCCCGCGACCCGCTCCTTGCGTACATATGAAACCAAGATGGCCGCCCATACAGGTAAACGCTCGATCCTGACGATCTTACAATAACGAATTACGATTCCATTTACGTGGAGAACGATATATTGATCTGAGAAAAATGCAAGCAAAGTCGCATAAAGATCCTCGACCCCTGATCCATCATCCATGATCTACTTTTTCAAGGAACTCCCGAAAGGCCCGAAACCATGCGCTTGCCCTTGATATTAATGAAACTTAAATTTTACTTCACTAACTTTCACATAATCCACTTAATTTATCCCAAAAATTGTACGCAAGCCTGGTTTCTAATTTCTCCTGGGTATAAAAGTCTTTCTAAGAGAAACAGAAGGCTTTGCTTAAGCAAAATTTTAGGGGGTAAATAATAAAGAAAAAAAAAACGGCGTTGAAACCGTGAAACCAAAGTTCTTAATGGACACACTAAACGAAAACGTCGACAATGCGAAATGCTACCAAGTGAAAGCGCTTCATTCTACAATTTGCCGCCAAAAAAAATTTCCCGCGGGAGTATTTCTTAGCCGCTGACAAGGGAAATGTTTATATTGTTAAAGAGGGTAAAGGGCACGAAAATTTGATAGCTTTCATCAGTTTGCTTCTCATTCAAAAGTAGTGCATTCAGAAGATCATTTTTCTGAAGAAGGTTTGTTTGGGAGTCGGTTTTCCAAGTCAAGTTTCAAGTTCACGGGAAAGTGGAAAGCAGGGCGGATAAATGTTGGGCGGTGAAACGAGCGCTCCGCTCTTCATTTAATGTGTGATGCGGAGTAGGACTGGCACGAGCGCTCTTTCCGCGCTTCCGGTGCGCTTGAAGGCCGGCGAAATTTTCCTTTTCGCAAACCGGAAATCCTATTTTCTCTCTGTAATTTCAGGCTACAATGTTAAATAGATAAATTCGTTTCATAACAATATCAATAAACAGTTTCATAGTTTGTGTCTGTATGCCTATAAGTCAAACTTGTTGGTCGTATAATGCCAAAATTTGAGTTTAATTTGAAAGTGTTGAATACCTCCTCCTTCCACTAAATATCACCTAATCGTCTTTCGCCGTTTCGTTTGCAAAAGCTTAACAGTTCTTAACCTCAATTTTTACATTTGTTAAAGGGGCCTGCGTGCTGTTTTTAGGAACAATGTTAGCTACCCTAAACTCCTAAAAAGAGCAGAACTGCCAAGTTTACAGAACAGGAGACTACAAGACATCTGTGTTTTAATGTATAAAGCAACAATCTATGTCCCCCCTATATCAGTGACATTTTTATTAAGCATAGATCCAAGTATAACTTAAGGCAGTCTGATTTCTCCGCTGCCAGGTACAACACGGTAACATATGGCAAGCAGTCCCTCCGCCACTTGGGGCCCAATCTCTGGAGAAAATTATCCCCAGACGTGAGAGAAGTTACCACCTTAAAATGTTTCAAAAACAAAATACGTACATTAGATATAGTTACACTAATGGATAATGGATGCAAGTGTTGTCATCTCTGCAATTCATAGACATATTTGTCATACTGTAAATATTGTTAATGTCATTAATTTTTTTTTATACCTGCGCTTATATGTAAATATTTTTTTACTTTAATTTATATTTATTTATTTTGTGTCCCCTAATTAGC